GTTGTCGCATGACGGAGTGAGCTCCCGTCTCTAGTTCCAGCTCCTGCCAACCTAGCAGTTCGAAAGCAAGAAATTGCAAGTAGATAAATAGGTGCCGCTTCGGTGGGAAGGTCACAGCGTTCCGTGCGCCTTGGTGTTTAGTCATGCCGGCCACATGACCACGGAAACGTCTTCGGACAGCGCTAGCTCTTCAGCTTTGAAACGGAGATGAGCACCGCAACCCTAGAGTCGGATTCGACTGGCTTTCGAGCAAGGGAACCTTTACGTTTTACCCCCCCACACATCCCCCAGGGACTCCTGTTCTATGCCCAGAACATGACCAAAAACCCTCCAGGATCTCTGGCCACACTGGCCTGGAGAAAAATGGCTTCCTGACCCCAAAGTGGCAATCGGCATTTCCCTGGGCGTGTAAGGAAGGGCCACAAGAACTAAGCACTGAGGCAACCCTTCCTGCCCTCCCTTCTCGTGATCTGCCTGAGTTCACAGAATCAGCACTGCTGTCAGATGGCCATAAGAACACAAGAGATGCCAATGTTGGATCAGGCCAAAGGCCCATCCAGTCCAACACTCTGTTTCACACAGTGGCCAAAAATACCAGTTGCCATCAGGAGGTCCACCAGTGGGGCCAAGACATTAGAAGCCCTCCCACTGTTGACCCCCCCCCCACCAAGCACCAAGAAGACAGAGCATCCCTTGCCCCAGAGCCCCTATCTATACCTTGTGGCTAAAAGCCACTGATGGACCTCTGCTTATCTAATTCCCTTTTGAAGCTGTAATATATCCAGTCAGACCGCGTGGCCGGCTAGGGCTCCACGCGGTCAAGCACAAACATCGAGCTTCGCTCTTAGAGACAATAGACTATGCGGATCCTAGCCCGCACCAATCAGGGGGCTAGGTCCCGGCCGAAAGCCTATGGAACTCTCGGCCCCTGTAAATAACCTATTGGGAAGTGGGAGGGTGTTATGGGTGGCGGTTTCACGGGGAATATAAGCCAGCCTGTGAGCCGGCAAAAGCTGTCTTGTTCCTGATCTAATAAAGTACGCTTTGCTGAAATCACTCTCCGTCTGCGTACTTTTCAGAAAGGCTGAAGAGTCTGTGACTTTTCAATTTAGAAAACAGAGGACTAAGGGGGGACATGAGAGAGGTTTATAAAACGATGCACGGGGTGGAGAGAGTGGACAAAGTGAAAATTCTGTCCCTCTCCCAAATTCTAGAACTCGAGGACATCCAATGAAGCTGATGGGCAGTGGGTTCAGGACGGACAAAAGAAAATACTACTTTACAGAGAGAGGGATTGAAATGTGGGATTCACTGCCAGAGGATGGAGTGATGGCCACAGGAATTAGCAGTTTGAAAAGGGGGTTGGATAAATTAATGGAGGATAAGTATCAATGGCTACTAACTATGGTGACCTAGGTAGGGTTGCCAAGTTGTGTGTTGCGCCACAGCGGGGGACTCCTGGCTGGTGTCTGGACCGCGCGCGTTGCACACACGTCACCTGGAAGTGATGTGATGACACCGGGCACGCTGGGGGCGGGGCCACGACCATCCGAGGGAAAACCATAGAGTTTTTCCTCGGATGGAACTGGCTGGCCCCCTTGTGAGGCAGGACGCTGGACTAGAGGGACCCTCACTGGTCTGATCCAGCTGGACTCTTCTGTTGTTCTTATCAGGGGAAAACCTTGGCCTCCATGCCCTGTTGCTGGCCCTCCAGAGGAACTGGCTGGCCCCCTTGTGAGGCAGGACGCTGGACTAGAGGGACCCTCACTGGTCTGATCCAGCTGGACTCTTCTGTTGTTCTTATCAGGGGAAAACCTTGGCCTCCATGCCCTGTTACTGGCCCTCCAGAGGAACTGGCTGGCCCCCGTGTGAGGCAGGACGCTGGACTAGAGGGACCCTCACTGGTCTGATCCAGCTGGACTCTTCTGTTGTTCTTATCAGGGGAAAACCTTGGCCTCCATGCCCTGTTACTGGCCCTCCAGAGGAACTGGCTGGCCCCCGTGTGAGGCAGGACACTGGTCTAGAGGGACCCTCACTGGTCTGCTTCAGCAGGGCTCTTCTGGTGTTCTTATCGGGGGAAGGCCTCGGCCTCCATGCCCTGTTGCTGGCCCTCCAGAGGAACTGGCTGGCCCCCGTGTGAGGCAGGACGCTGGACTAGAGGGACCCTCACTGGTCTGACCCAGCAGGGCTCTTCTGAGGTTCTTATCAGGGGAAGGCCTCGGCCTCCCTGCCCTGTTGCTGGCCCTCCAGAGGAACTGGCTGGCCCCTGTGTGGGACGGGAGGCTAGACTAGAGGGACCCCTCACTGGCCTGATCCAGCAGGGCTCTTCTGAGGTTCTCCATGCCCTGTTGTTGTCCCTCCAGAGGAACTGGTTAGCCACTGTGTGAAACAGGATGCTGGACTAGACAGACTATTGATCTGATCCAGCAGGGCTCTTCTTATGTTCTTATCTATTTAGGAAGTGTATTTATTTATTCAGAGGATTTATATTCTGCCTCTGCAGAGTGGGGCTTCTCTGCCCCAGGTCCATGTGCTTTTCAAGGTAATAAAGTGGCTCTTGAACACAGAACCCCAGTGTATAGAACATTCTATTCCATCCTCACTGCCAGTGATCAGTTTTTAAGGACTTTGCAGAAAAGACCAGTGACGTCTGTTCTGACGTGCTCCAGGCTGAAGGCCATGCATGCCCCAGGCACCTTCTTGTCCCGTGGACCCAAACAATATCCCTAACTATTGCCATCCGCTTTACGGGTTCTCAAGCACATGGTAGTGGCCTAGCTGAAGACGTGTCTAGGTCATGCCAGGTATCTAATCTGGCTTCTGGCCTAGTTTTGGGACTGAATGTGTCCCTGTTGGTTTATCCTGGACTTTTCAAAAGCTTTGGATATCATCAGCAGTGGTACCCTTCTGGGCCACCCTGCAGGGTTCAGGTGTGGAAGGCTCTGCTCCATTGGTTCCACTCCTACCTGGCAGGTAAATTGCAGTAGGTGAGAACTGATCCAAAACCAGAAGTCCTCTTGTGTCAGCAACCCCCTTCTGGGGAAACAGTGCTGGTGGATGATTTGGCCCCCCTGAGACAATTAGAATCCCAAAAGGACCCTCTCATAAGAATATAAGAACCCCAGAAGAGCCCTGCTGGATCAGACCAGTGAGAGTCCATCTATTCCAGCCTCCTGCCTCACACTGGTACCCTTCTGGGCCACCCTGCAGGGTTCAGGTGTGGAAGGCTCTGCTCCATTGGTTCCACTCCTACTTGGCAGGTAAATTGCAGTAGGTGAGAAAGGATCCAAAATCAGAAGTCCTCTTGTGTCAGCAACCCCTTCTGGGGAAACTATGCTGGTGGATGATTCGGTCCACCTGAGACAATTATAATCCCAAAAGGACCCTCTCATAAGAATATAAGAACCCCAGAAGAGCCCTGCTGGGTCAGACCAGTGAAGGTCCATCCAGTCCAGCATCCCGTCTCACACAGCAGCCAGCCAGTTCCTCTGGAGGGCCAACAACAGGGCAGAGAGGCCGAGGCCTTCCCCTGAGAAGAACATCAGAAGAACCCTGCTGGATCAGACCAGGGAGGGTCCATCTAGTCCAGCCTCCCGTCTCACACAGTGGCCAACCAGTTCATCTGGAGGACCAACAATGGAGCACGAATGTTGAGGCCTTCCTTGATGTTGCCTCCTGGCTCTGAATGTGCAGGTTCCCCTGTCTGGTACTTCACTGAAGAGTCTCACTAGGTCGATTTAAACCCATCAACTGGAGCAGAAGTTGGCCAGAATTGCTGCAACTCCTAAGGCCTTCAGGATCTTCCGAATCTCGGTGAGCAAAGCTGTAGCTTTTTCCACAACTGCTAAAAAGTCAAAAGGGACAATGAGGGTAGCTATTTGAAGCATTTGTTTGTGCAAGTTATGAAAATGCATGTTAAGAGCCGTTCTGTAGCAGCAGCAGCAGCAGCAGCAGTAGAGCCAGCACTGGTTGAAAAAACACTAACATTCAATCATACGCAGAATGTCTGCTTTGGGGCAGATTCTGGAACGCATGCAAAACGCAGGCACTGCAACCCATCACTAAATGGATTAACAGCCAGTTTCTCGTAGGCAGGTTATGAAAATGCATGTTAAGAGCTGTTCTGTAGCAGCAGCAGCAGCAACAGTAGAGCCAGCACTGGTTGAAAAAACACTAACATTCAGTCATACGCAGAATGTCTGCTTTGTGGCAGATTCTGGAACTCATGCAAAACTCAGGCACTGCAACCCATCCCTGAATGGATTAACAGCCAGTTTCTCGTAGGCAGCATCGAGTGAAGACAAACCCATGTGAATGACTTGTCACCAGTGTTCCCTCTAAGCTGAGTTAGTGTGAGCTAGCTCAGTTTTTTAGCCTCCAGCTCACAGGTTTTTCGTCTCAGCTCGGGAAGGAGGGCTCCAGAGCAAACTAATTTATGCAGCAGCCAAATTGCTCGCTCCCAACTTTAATGCCAGTAGCTCACCAAGTAGAATTTTTGCTCACAAGACTCCACAGCTTTGAGGGAGCATTGCTTGTCACTGATCTTCCTGAATGGTGTAGGCATCAGAGTGCTAGCAAGATGTCCCCTGGCCTTTTTCCTTCATGCAGGAGAGTTCTTCTCCCCTTATCAAACCCAATGCTTCGTGCCAGTTTATCCCTAAATCTAAGGCATTGTAAATAATATTCCTATCCCACCTGTCTACCAAAGCCTTTGAGGAGAGGAAGAACATCTTGAAATGTTCCTGAGCAGATTGCTCATTTGCTGAGCCGCTCATCATATTCACAACCATCCATAGTACAAAGAAGTGCATGAAAGGAGCACAAAACCTAACCAACCGGCTGAAATATCTGCAGAGGTAGAGAGACCTTTACTAAGGAAATCCAGGGGCTTGGGGGGGGGGCGGTGG